TAAAGTTCCCGGGGTGTTTTTGTGATGAAAGAGTCAGTGGAGGGTTAAGTGGGGGTAGGGGACCCGCCACCTACCCGCGACCAACTTTGAAGTCGCCGGCAGCGGGCAGGCGACTGCCCGCCGGGCACCCGCTGCCCGGAACCACGACGCCGGCGGGCAGTCGGCGGGTGACCCCTCACCCACCGGCTACCCGCTGGATTTTACCCCACTTGGGGATTCCGGCTTCCCCGTTTGATGTTCCCCCGACCCCCGTGGTGTCCCAACGGACTCCGTCTATCGTGCCTATGTCTAGTTTGATGTTCGGGTACCATTCGTAGGTTGAATGAGTCTTGTATATTGCATGCTAGTTGAATTGCTATCCCGTTGGCCTAGGTGTAAGAAGTATGAACCCCTTAGGATTATTCTTAGTACGTGGATGATCACGCACAGGTTTCGTTATACGATTTCTCCCCCTTCCCAATGTGTCAATGTGGGTTGCATGTGTTTGCTATGTGTTATATGTGCATGATACCCCAATTTGGTTGCGATCAAATTGGTTATTCCTGAGCTGCGGTTCAGAAGCTGGCTGCGGTCAGATTTACACTCTCGGGCTGCGATCCACCGTTTGGTTGCGATCAAACGTTTTACATGAGCTGCGGTTCATATTCCTGGCTGCGGTCAGATGACTACTCTTGGGCTGCGGTCCACTGTTTGGTTGCGATCAAACATTATGATGAGCTGCGGTTCATCGGTCGGTTGCGATCGACCCCTCCCTGTTGCGATACGGGGCAGGGTGCTGCGGGGCCGTGTCAGAGCTATATGCGCTGACCCTCATGTATGGGCATGCGATTGGTCCTGTGGCGCCAACAAAGTGTGCTATGTGATGAGATTTGGATGATTGGATTGTTATGAAAGCGGGACCATAGGATACATGCTAGTAACTGTATATGCTTGTTTATGACTATTGGCTGCGCTTATCTCTATCTGTCGTATCTGTTCCCTACACCTGTGAATTGTGCATGCTTGGTTATGACTGTTGGTTGTGCTTGTCCCTATCTGTCGAGTCTATCCCCTGTTTTGAAAGCTAGAGTCTCTTAGGATATATCTTCATGCTTCGAAATGGTTTTCATATACCTATGTATATATCTATACGTATTGTATTTCAACGCGTTGGAGTGGGTTACCAGCATCTCTCGCTGAACAGATATATTTAGCTTTCAGGCACAGAAGAGTAGACACTGGAGCGCGCTAGAACCGTGGAGCCTAGAAGTAGATAGTTTCCCCTTCTTGGCCTGCGTGCCATGCTTATGCTTTTATCTTGTTGAGGATATTAGTTAGTTAGCCTGTGCACCTGAATTCTCTAGCTCAGGTGTGGCATAGCACCCTGTACTATTTATATTATGTTTTGGGATTTAATGAGAACTTACCTTTATTATATAAGTTTCAAAATTTAGAAATTTCGGGGTGTTACACTCTTCTCTTCTTCTTACCATGTACATTCACCGAGTATCAATGTAGAACATTCGTGCTGATAACTGTTGGAGAATGGCAGCAACAATGTCTACGGAAACTAGGAATGAATGAACTGAACAAGGCATGTGACGTGTTGTAAAAACACTATCTTAAAAGCAATATTTTTTGGGGACGGTGTAGTCTGAATTTCCCGGTTTGCTTACGATTGGTATCATAGGTGACCAATGAGACGTAGAGCGAACCTAACTCTAAATTAGCTCAAACGTGAAAGAGAAGAAAACGGAATATGAAAAGAATGATTTGTGTTGGAATATGAAATGAAGAAAGAATGTGTTGATGTGTTGCTACAATATATGAGGCACTATTTATATACTACAAATAATCTAACCACCTTCCCCATACTTACCATTCATAAACGAAGAAAATGGGCATGGATTCTCTGGAGCTTACACGTGTATCAACAACCCATTTAAATGCGAACAAGTAAGTCTACAGTGATCCAAAATAATGGGGGAAGGAAAATAAGATAAGATGACTAAGCCTTTTATTTGAATGATTTTCCAACAATCCCCCACACATTCGAAGAGAATGCTAAAAGAATAACGTCTGAGCGATACGCAAGGACTGGTCTTAATATCAGTGTTTCAAATATTGAATTGACACGTAGTGACACTGAGTAATTTTCTTCCGGAGAGTGACATGTATCTTGAACTCTATGGTTAGATAAATTTTGAACTCAGATGCACACACCTACTCTTAAATTGCATGTTCTACGCAAGTTAAACTCTTTGAATTCTCATGAATTCTTGTCAAGTCTATCTCAATATAGACCAATGTTGAAAAAATCGCTAGGCACCCTCTAGGCGCATGGGGACCGCCTAGGGCGCCTAGGCGCGATTTTTGCAATACTGATATAGACTTTCAAATTCGTCAAGTCTATCTCAATTCTCAATATAGACTTTAACTCTGTCAAATCCATCTCAATATAAACCACCCATTAAAGGCTATAGAGTAAGTAATGGACATTTATTTCACAAATTTTGCGTAACTCTTTCCATGATTTCGTTTGACCACCAAAGTGGTATCCATCATGAATTCCTTACCTCGATGGTTTTAAACACATCTCCATTGATGTTACAAAGATTGCCTTTCAGTTTAGACATTTTGTGAGAGGATTTGCAATATTCCTCTCAGATTTCACATACTCCATTGTGATTATTCTATTAGCAATCAACTGTCGAACATGCTCGTGTCTGACTCTTATATGTCTTCTCTTCCCATCGTAGACACTAGTCTTTGCAACACAAATGACAGCTTGTGAATCACATTGTATAGGCACGGAAGGTGTTGGACACCCCCACAATGGCACATCTGCCAACAGATTTCTTAACCACTCAACTTCTTGACTTGCTAGATCAAGTGTTATGAACTTTGCTTCCATAGTTGATCTAGCTATGTGATGCAGGACAAGGAGAACAGGAAGAACACAAACACTAGAACTCAAACTCAAAGACTTTCAATTATATTCCAACTCGAACTTCTCAATACAAAAGTTTGTTTAAATAGATAATTAAAAAAACTGAAGAGTTGCAAATATTAAAAACATGCATGGGAACTATAAAATAAACATAATGAGAATTGGAAATACTAATAATATTTAAAGCTAATTCAAATTTCCCATAAAAAGTAGCCATCAAACTCCATGTCCCTTAGACTTCATGCATGTAACCATTGTTTTATTATTTTCTCAATTCTTGTTCCGCATCATTCTCCCTTGGTTGCGAAGGACTCGCCCCGAGTCCTCAAAATGTAATGTTACCTCCTCGGAGTAATATAAAGTCCTTATGAGGGCCTTCAACTTTTTTTTTTCTTTTTCGACCCTTATAATACCCATATCTCCTCAATCTCAATTTGTGAAATGTTTTCGTGAACACTTGATCCTTATGGATAAAGACCATAACCTTCTCACCCATTCTAAATATTTTCTTATGCTGCCTTTTGTTAGCCTGGGCTTTATACCTTGCATTGGTAGCATCAAATTTAGCTATAGCTTCATCCTGAGCTTCAAGATCACACCTTTCAAATTTTACATCTCCATAATACTTTTGCAACAGCGAGATAAAGTTAATAGCATGCCTAGGTTGTTTTTGAAAAGCAACCAGATCTATGATCACTAATTTCTTAGTGTCCTCATAAATTTGATAGAATGCTTTGAAAATGCTCTTAAGTTGGAGGGATTGCTTTTCCTCGTTTGTGTACATTAAACTTTTCACCACACAACTGAAATGCCCATCATCTTCCTTAGCAATCTCAAATTCATATATGCAATCATATTCTCTCTCCTTGATATTATCATCCTCAGGATCAAAGGATATTTGAGCCCAACCTTCATCTGAATAGTAGTCAGGTTCTTTTCTCTTCAAACATTTCTTAGTCCCGGCCTCTTGTGTGAGTGGTGGAGATTGAAATTGATAAAAGTGAGCAGCATTGTTTTCATGCGTAGGTTGGCTGTTAACCTCAACAATGCTCTTGTAGGGGGAAGGGAGTGTTTATTTGGAATAACTTCAGTCAACAGATTTGCAGCTTGAAAGTTCATATTAAAAGCTTTACCTTGTGTCCATAATGGAGATACTGACATTATTAGTTGTTCTTGAACGTTGACAGCAGTTGTGGCTTGGGAGTTTCTTGAAGTTGATTGTAGCTTGTTGGAATTTCACATGCTCTCATCCACACATCCTCTGCATATTTATTAACATTACAATATTTTTGAAAGAAATGCATTTGGTAATCCTGAGGCAAAAACTGTTCCATCAAAAGTTTTCTCATTTTTCTCCATGTTTTCACTAAGCATTTACCTTGTCTTGTTCTGTAGTTCTGTATAGTCTCCCACCATGACAGAGATCTTCCACGCAGCATACTGGCAATATATTTTGCTTGCTTATTTTCAGGAACTTCTAACATACTAAGGTAGCTATCAACTTGTGAACACCAATCCAAGAAGGCTCTTGTGCCCAAATAGCCATTAAAAGTTGGTAGCCGATGGTATTGGAGATGTTGCCAACTTCTGGCCACATGCTTTGTTGGCAGATTCATGTCATTGATAACACATGGCGTTGCACCATTACCCTCTAACCGAAGGCTTATGTTCGTGAGAATGCTACGAATTTCTTGAAACTCACGATTCACATTCTCACCATGTACTTGAAAAGCTGCCCGAAGGCAATCCATTCCACGGTCACCACCGAAGGATGGGTTGTTACCCTTGTTGTTGATACCGCCTTGTGCCATCTTGGGTCGTGACAAGTGGAGAGGGCTATTCCGCTATCTCGGTTGTCGCCTAGGAAATTGAGGCTCTGATACCAACTGATGCAGGACAAGGAGAACAGGAAGAACACAAACACTAGAACTCAAACTCAAAGACTATCAATTATATTCCAACTCGAACTTCTCAATACAAAATTCTGTTTAAATAGATAATTAAAAAAACTGAAGAGTTGCAAATATTAAAAACATGCATGGGAACTATAAATAAACATAATGAGAATTGGAAATACTAATAATATTTAAAGCTAATTCAAATTTTCAATAAAAATTAGCCATCAAACTCCATGTCTCTTAGACTTCATGCATGTGACAATTGTTTTATTATTTTCTCAATTCTTGTTCCGCATCACTGTGCAAGACTATTTGGTCGATTTTTACGAGATGGTTGTGCCGCACATTGTGAATACATTTTTATTGGTGGAGCTGACATCCTCATTGTCATTGACCCAGTTTGCATCATAGAACCCCTCCATTACGACTGGAAATCCTATATAGTCAAGTCCCTACACTAGTGAATATCCATTCCCGTGATATAAACACCCAATAAAACAAAATCATGCATCGTAACAAATTCCTAACTACTACCATCTCCCGATGTGCAATAATCAAGAATTAAACTCCCTAACAAAATTACCCTCTCCCAAGGTGCAACAGTTAGGTGCAATTGTGTGTACCCTAAATTATGCCCAACTCCCGTTGTGACACAAAGATAGCATGGTGCGAGCAAGTAACTATTGACCACTAATTACAAGCATCAACAATAAAAATCACAATTGCAACACAAGTATTAACCCAAATAATAATATATTGAAGCATTAAAGAACTAGGCACATAGGTTCATAAATACTATCACCCAAGAATCTATAAGAAAACTTAGCCACACATGGCTAAGATGCAATACATAAATAATTAAGAGTTTACAAGTAATCTAAAAGAGTACAAGAATTGAACCAAGCGATTCTCCCAAATCTCATTAGCTTTCTTCTTGCATCCCAAGACCACTCGTAACTCTCAATTCTCTTCTTTCTTGTCTCCAAAACACTACATGAATTTTCTAGGATTGAATCAAGGCGGGATTTTGGCCCTGTTTGGTAAAAAATTGGCCTATAGGCCAATTTTGGCTTATTTGACCACTATTAATTGTTTGATTTAGTTAAACTATCAATATAAATGGTTGGTTAATTAGCTTTTTGCAACTCCAAAAGGCTAAAATTCAAAAAGCTACTCCAAGCAACTTTTTCAATTAGCTTTTTGAGAAAAGAAATTATAACAAACAGCTTTCAGCTAACAGCTAATTTACCAAACACTTTTCTACAATCAGCTAATGTTATCAACTATTTATACCCTCTAATTAACATAATCAGCTAACAACCATTTTACCAAACAGGGCCTTTATAGTGAGATTTAAATCGGGGTGAAATTGGAATTCTCCTTATTTAATTTTTAGGAAATTGTCGACTAATGATTTGGCAATTATTGCCCCTTGAAATCTGTGCATTTGAGTTTGGAAATGTGCTGCATTCATTTGTTGATTTTGGAATGTTGCTGCCGCCTTAATTTTGGAAGCTTTGCCTTCTTTTTTTTTTTTTTTTTTTCGTACACAGCGCCTTAATTTGGCACACAGTGACATTCGACACGTCGAGTCTCCGATTCTCCGATTCTCCATTCCAGACGCGTACTAAAATTTTCAGACGCATCGAACTTGCTGAGAGCATGCACTTTGGTCTATTTAACTCCAAATTTATCTTAGAACTGCCCTTACTTATAGAATTAACCTACAATGGTTCAAAAATACTAACAAACACCATAAACCATTCAAAACAAATGTAAATCATATCTAAATGATAAAACAAAGAAATATGCAATTAAATTACCATTTTCACGAAATTGAACCCAACAAACATGATCAAATTAATACAAGAAATATGCACAATATGGCTCACATCAGTGGTACATAGTGTTTGATAAAGTGTGTTTATGTCCATATTTCTATCCCATATATAGACCTATTTTGAGTGAAAAATACTTTGTTTTTATGCAAAATGTGCCTTAATTCATTTGTTTATATCTTTAGGTGCATAAATTGTTGATTTGAAAACAATCGTATGCCTTTCGGACATTTTTATGAACATTGCTACTATCATTGGATTGTTTATACAAACCTGCTTTATTCCTTACCTATTTCATTCCTTGTGGAATAACATTCTTATTCCCTCCAAATTAATTCCATGAATCAAACGTGTCATACAAGAAAACATTGAAATACCTTCATTTTAAATACTTAGAGGTTTCACGGAATTGCTTACAGAAATCCGTAATAGGTGAATTAAATACATGTGAATTTAAGCGATTTATCTATAGAGTTTTTGTTAGTAAAATTTATTTTTCATGTTTTGATTTTTATTTATTTGTTAAACTCTCCAAACAAAAGAAATCAATTTATTATTTATTAAATACAATTATATAATAAATAATTATTATATAATTAATGGACTATTTGTTATATAAGTATCAACAATAAATAACTAATTTTATCAAACATCACTTTACAAACAACTAATAATACATGAAGATCAAAATTGTTAATATAATTGGCGATTCGCTAATTATCAAATAATACCTAATTCTTTAACATGTGAATTTTATCTGTCAACGCGGTTTGTTATAATTGGTTAAAAATCTCAATCAATTATCTAAAAACTAATTGTTATTTGACATGTTGACAAGCAATGGTTCAGCGAAGTATCATGTATTACAACTTTAAACTTAATTGTATGTTTCTCATTTTCTCTAATTATCAAATAATACAACATTCTTTAGGATGTTAATTTTATCCGTCAATGCGTTTTGTATAATTGGGTAAAAAATCTCAATCAGTTATCTAAAAACTAATTGTTATTTGACATGTTTATAAGCAGTGGTTTTGTGAATCATCCTATATTATTACAACTTTAAACATAATTGTATGTTTCTCATCTTCTGTAATTTACAAATAATACCAAATTCTTTAGGTTAATTTTATCTGTCAACGCGCTTTGTTATAATTGGGTAAAAAATCTCAATCAATTATCTAAAAACTAATTGTTATTTGACATGTTGATAAGCAATGATTCCGCAAATCATTATGTTTTTTTTTTTTGAAAATATATGTGGTGCTTTATTAAAAATATGTCGAAATAATGTCTGGTGGGAGAAGATCCCAGTACATAGCAGCCGATTGCTGATATGCTGAAGTAGCTAAGGCATGAGTTATAAAATTGTCTAGTCTAGAAATAAAATGGAATGAACAAGACTGAAAATAAACTGTAGCTGCTCTGCAGGCATTAATGGCATAGCCGACGTAAGTGCAAAACGTAGTAGACAGTGTAGTAAGATAACGCTGTAGCATTAAACAATCTGTATATATTTCGATGTTCTGTTCCCCTCGATCCTTTAACCATGACAAAGCCTCCTTGCATGCCAATGCCTCGGCCATAAGTGGTGAGAAACAATCTGGGAGGGGTGCACTGAAGGCCGCGACATACCCTCCATTCATGTCTAAGAGGATTGTCCCAACCGTAGCTTTGCCCGTATTTTGTATAAACCCCGCGTCGATGCGACATAGCCTCCGAGGTGGCTCCTCCTGTACAATACCGTGAGGTCCGAGTGGCGCATGAGAGCCAAGATGATGAGATTGCGTTGCAGGCAGTGGTACGTGGTTTTGTACTGCTGGCGGGTTTGCCCTCCTCCATGCATGCAATGCCGAATTCGCTGCTGCCAACAAAGATTGTGGCCGTGGTAATAGAGCATTCCAAACCGCCCCGTTCCGTGCTCTCCAAATATTGTAGAGGATTGATGCTGCATATAACATCCCATCAAAATCTAAAACATTTAGGAGCTCACCAAACCAAATATGAAAAACATTCGTTATAATATTGGGGATTGGAAGGTTGGATCGGTCTCAAATGTTCTTTGCAAATTCACATAGCACTAAAGCATGCATAGTGTCCTCTTGAGATGATCCACACATGGCACAATATGGGCTTACTTCTACCCTCTTTATAAGCAAGTTAGTAGTGGTAGGCAGTATATCACAAATGGCTCTCCATAGGAACATTCTCCATTTTTGGGGGATTTTGAGTTTCCACAAGGTTAACCACTTTGTAAAAGTCCCATTCTCATTCCCATAATTACCAACTATTAATCTGTATCCGCCCTTTACAGAATAAACTCCTCTCGGGTCCCCAGGCCAATACCAAGTATCATCATAATCCAGAGAAACTGGTATTTTAAGAATATTTGCCACATCACTAGGATGAAAAAGATCAGTTAAAATTGAAAGATCCCATGTCCGTGTTTGTTGATCAATCAATCCCACCACCTTAGCATCCTGTAACTGTACTGGCATTTCTGTTTGTATCATGGGGTCTTGGTCGTCCTGTAACCAGGGATGGGTCCATATGAGTGTAGATTCCCCATTTCCAATCCTACGTCTTACCCCACTACAAATTATACTCTTGGCTACCATAATACTCCGCCAGCAGAAACTAGGATTGTTTCCCACTTGTGCATCAAAGAATGAGCCTTTGGCATAATACTGTGCTTTATATATACGAGCCACCAGGGACTTAGGTTTAGTAAGGATTCGCCACGCCTGTTTTCCCAACATAGCAGGTTAAAAGCACGCAACTCCTTGAATCCCAAATCCCCATATTTCTTAGGAACACACAGTTTGTCCCAAGCCTTCCAATGAATCCGTCTATCAGTTCCAGAGTCCCACCAGTAACGATTCATAGTCCTCTCAATCGCTGTACACACAGAAGTTGGCAGCAGGAAGACACTCATTGAAAGGTAGGCATGGATTGTGATACACTTTTCAATAAAATTTCTTTCCTGCCTGTGATAATAACCTCTTATTCCATGACCCAATTCTTTGCCGGATTTTATCCTCTATATATGCAAAAGCTGCCTTTTTGTTTCTCCCTACAAATGAGGGGAGTCCCAAATACTTGCCAAAATTAGGAGCCTGGCCAACTCCCAGAACTTGCGCCACCACTTCCTTACTTGCGTTACTCGTGTTCCTACTATAACATATGCTTGACTTGTGGTAATTAACCACTTGCCCAGATAAATCCTCATAAACTGATAGACACCTCTTGACCTCACTGGCCTCTTCAACATTGGCTTTAAAAAACAGAAGGCTATCATCAGCGAAAAATAAGTGAGAGATTGGGGGAACACCTCTTGCTACTCTGCATCCATGGATCAAACCCCTATTGTGAGCCTGCTGTAATAACAATAAAAGGCCCTCTGCACAAATAATAAAAAGATAAGGAGATAATGGGTCTCCCTGCCTTAAACCACGTGTGGGTAAAATAGGTTCACTCCTAGAGCTATTCACCAATAAATTATACGAGACTGTAGCTACACATTTCATGATTAACTGCACCCATCCAACATCAAAACCCAAACGATATGACTCCTTCCATCAGCGGTTTCATTCTATTTTTTATCATCTTTGCCATAATCCTATAGATCACATTACTGAGGGTTATAGGACGCAAGTCAGTTACTAGCTCAGGGATCTTTTTCTTTGGGATCAAAATAATATCTGTACTGTTTAAGCTAGGTGGTAGATCGCGTGAGTTAAGACATCCCATGACAAAAGTCGCAACATCCCCCCCATACCACATCCCAAAAATGCTGATAGAACCCCGGGTTCATTCCATCCGGGCCCGGTGCCTTATCAGGAAATATTGCAAACAGGGCCGATTTAACTTCATCAAATTCAAAAGGCCGTAACAACAACTCATTCTGTGCCTGAGTGACCCGCGGGACAATTCCCTCAAAAAAACTCTCCCCAGATCCCGGATTTTCAGAGCGAAAAATACGATTGAAATATTCCAAAATAACATTATTCATGGGTTCCCCTTCCACCCAATCCCCATTATCATTCATTAGTCTGGCAATAGTATTCTTCTTTTTTACGATGAGAGGCGTACCTGTGAAAGAACTTGGTATTGGCATCGGCCTCTTTGAGCCAGTGTTGCTTGGCCCTCTGCCTCCAGTAGGCATCCTCCTGGGCTTTAGTACGGCATAAAAGTTGTTCCAGGGATTGAAACTCAGCAAGCGAAGCAGGGTCCGTGCATCCCCTTAGTCGTTGCCGCTTCTTTTTAAAATCAATAATCTGCTTACCATACTTATGGTGCCGATCTCCACCCCATCGTGTTAATCGACTACCACAGTATTCAATACAATGTTGCAGACCCTGTCCCTTTCCTTCTTGCCATGCCTGCTCGACTACCCCTCTACACCCCTCCTCATATAACCATGCTGCCTTAAAACGGAATCCCCTCCTTCTCGTTCCATTCGTCCCTAAGGATTTATGGATACCCAGATAGATAGCCGAATGATCCGATTTTCGGGTTCTCAAGTTCACCACCCTGGCCATTGTTACCATACTACGCCACTCAACTGTTGCCATGACTTTATCAAATCTCTCCTCAATCCAATCAATTTTTCCCTTCCCCTTCTCCCATGTGTACGGATAGCCCTCCATATGCATTTGAGTCAAACCACTGTCCCCAATAGTATCCCCAAAACCGCGAAGGAGGCTATTCGGATGTGGATTTCCCCCTCTTTTCTCATACTGAAATAATAGATCATTGAAATCTCCCACTACGATCCATGGAAGGCCAGATCTAGTTGATAATGCCCTCAAAAGATCCCATGACTCAGAACGCCTGGTTCGTTCTGGGAAACCATAATAACATGTCATACGCCACATCGGGAAGCCGGTTATAGTTACCTCAATATCCACATAATTATTTGAGTAACTGAGGAGCCTTGCCGTATTATTCTTCCTCCAGAACAACGCTAAACCACCGCTTAGTCCTCTGAAACCACTACTATCAACATAAAATAATCCCTCAAATCCAATCTTGATCCGAACACGCTCAGCATGATCGCGTCCCACCTTAGTTTCCATCAGAAATACAAAGTCGGGTTGCTTACGGGACACCATGTCCACCACCTCCTGAACTGTCCGTGGATTACCCAAGCTACGGCAGTTCCAAGATAACGTACTCATAATGATGGGCGGGACTGCCCAGCAGTACCCGCCATAAACAAGTTTTTTGAAACATCTGCCATAGTAGTATCTTCACCCTCACCCCTCCTACCGCCCTCATATCCCCCCTCCCTCCTCCTCTTAGCCACCGTCTCCACCACCGTTTTAGCCACCCCACCACCACCCGAGACCACCAATTCGCCCTTCTTACCCATCCCACCACCCAATCGGTTCCCCGTTGCCGCAACCACCCCCTCCATAACCCTCGGCCTGCCACCGACCAGAACCAACCAACTTTCCCCCACCTCCCTCGGACCCCTACCACCCCCCACCCTCATCTCCGCACCATACGGGTATTGTTCAACCGGAACCATAGAGACCCGAGCCTTCACACAGAATTTATACGAGTGTCCCATCAATCCACAGAAAAAACAAAAAGTGTGCAAACGCTCATACCTGAAGGTAACCCAACATGTGGTCTTATCACGTTTCAACAGTTTCATACATCTTCGTAACGGCTTATCGACCGGGATCGATACACGGATACGGTAAAAGGCCAACCAAGGTGCCCCCACAAACCTCTCATCATGCTTAACAAAAGTTCCAATGAAGTTACTCATCTGCTCTAGAATCGGCTGGGACGTATAACCCATAGGAACATCATGCAGTTGCACTCACATGTCAACCGTATTCAGAACCACATTAACCGGTAACACCCCATCCTCAACCAGGCTACACACCAAGGTATTGTTTTCAAACGCCCACGGCCCTCCATCCAGTACATAATCCACATCCATTTTATGAAAGAAAACGAATAGAAACAAATCCCTCTATATCTCCGTGACCGTCACCCCCATCACCGGTTGCCAAACCGAAGCTAAAACTTGCCTCATATACTCTAACTTGATTAACTTCGCTGTTAAAAATCTGCCCACCATACTCCACGTCTGCACCGGCGGTTCCGAACCTGGCTCCTCCACCTCATCAACCGGTGCTAAACAATCCTCATCATCATCGATGGCGATGTCCGCCCAACGCTCCGCCAAAGCCGTAACATGGTCCGTATTCCCGTCGATCGCCATGGTGGTCCCCTGCATTACTGATTTAAATCCGACCAAGAAACAGGAGCAATTCCAAAGCAATAATATTCGAAACAGCCACAACTCAAAATATTAATAATTAGTAAAGCCGACGCAATTCCGAATAAAAGTAATTCGTAAAACAGCAGCAATTCCAAACAAACAGCCGCAATTCGTAACAATATCCCAATCGTAGCCTACGCAATAATCCTGATCGCCGGAAACCGGTAATGATTGCCGGAAAAAAATATGAAAATTGCGAAACCCTAGTTAACCCTAGGAGAGGAAGCAAAACCCTAGAATTCTAGAGAGAAAATTTTCCCCATGAAAACGACTTTTTCCAATTTGAATTAATACATTTATCTTTGGGCGGGGAGATTGAGTTCCGCAAATCATTATGTATTACGCCTTTAAACATAATTGTATGTTTCTCATTTTCTCTAATTATCAAATAATACTAAATTCTTTAGGATGTTAATTTTATCTGTCAACGCGCTTTGTTATAATTAGGTAAAATATCTAAATCAGTTATCTAAAAACTAATTGTTATTTGACATGTTGTTAGTCTTCAAAAAAGTAAATTTCTTCTGACGATTTAGATATTGAAACTTCTTTCAATACATACACTTAAATAATTCAACGACGATTTAGATATTGAAAATTTTGTATGAATTTAATTGTCAAAGTAAAATGATGGTTGACAAATGTTAACTTTGATGATTTAGTTATTGTCAAGATAGTAATTTACCTTTTAACACGATCTTACATTTTACAAAGATGAGATGAAATTGGTAAATGAATTCTAAATATGGAATTGTCTTATGCATCTCAAGATAACACAAATTTTTAATTTAAATGACTAAATTTAGAAACAATCATTATAATAAATCAATAATTAATAATAAATCCGATGATTAATTATTTAGTATTAAATACAATTTTATAATAAATACGGAGTAATTATTATATAATTAATGGACTATATTATTATATACATCTTTTTACATCGTAAGTATTAACAATCAAGAAATAATTTTATTAAATATTTCTTTACAAACAACAACTGAAACGCTTCCTCAAAAGTCTCTGGCTCTTTAGCTTCTTCTATAACAGCAGCATTAGCATACCTGGGATTTGGCTTTCTAACTCTTGTGGACCTTCTTAGAGGAAGTGGTGTACTCACTCTATTGGAATCCCCATCTTCACTTTGTTGCTGGTATTGATTTATCCTACCTTAACAAGGCTTGACTTGTCCTTTGCAGTTCGCATGATGAGTCGATACATGCAAAGTCCGAAGAAACCTCATTTGGAAGCCGCTCGGAGAATCTTTAGATATGTTAAAGGCACTCTTGGTCATGGTGTTATGTACAAGAGAAGTTGAGGTAACACCTTAGCTGGCTACTGTGATGCAAATTATGCAGGAGATTGTGGAACTCAGCGTTCAACAACTGGCTATGTGTTTATGCTTGGGTGTGGAGCGGTTTCGTAGTGTAGCAAAAGACAACCAACAGTGTCTTTGTCAACAACGGAAGCAGAGTACAGAGTACCGAGCAGCAACTGAGTATTCAATTCCCCTGTACTGTGACAACTTGTCAGCAGTAAGTTTGGCAGAAAATCCAATGTTTCATGCTAGATGTAAGCATATTGAAGTGCACTACCATTTTATCAGGGAGAAAGTTCTCAAGGGAGAAGTACAGATGATCCATGTTAGAACTGACGAACAAGTTGTTGATATGTTTACAAAAAGTTTGAGCTGTAGCAAGCTTGATTACTTTGGCAAGAAACTTGGTATTACAACGAATAAGATAGTTGGTGTTGAAGGGGAGTGTTAAACATTACAACACCAATAATCTGCTTAGACCGATTTCGACGTTACGTGGAGCTAATTTCAAATCGTGTAGTAGTGAATATATAG